CGACTTGATAGAAATTCTATGTTCCTTGAGAGGGGCATTCTGCCTTGACGAGTCCGCCGGCCGCAAGCTATTTCCACACACAGGCTAGTCCGGTCTAGGGTACTGTAGGGGCGGTTAGACGATGCCGCGAGCTGACTCAGCGGCTTCGCTGGCCACCAGATGGTCGCGGTGATCAACTAAGCAACGAGATCGTTCTAGAGCCTCGCTGAACGCCCTGCGACGCTTAAATGCCTGGCGGAGGGGGCAGGAACAAGGGGATGACATCATGAACATAGAGTTCATGACACTCCCCAGCCAAGAAAGACTTAACCAAGATGACGTCATGAGTGGACCGCATTCTTCTCGTGTAGGCTTAAGAGAAGCTCTTATTGTTAACAGTCCTTCTCTCTATATATACTTTTGAGTAAGATTTGAAGTTTGAAATATGTTGACAATCTCACACTACAAAACCACGAAAATGTGTAAAACAAGAAAATTCATGAACGTGAATACATGAATGGGATACAGTCTGTTTTCCATGTGAGAAAGCTTCTATGATTTCCTAGACGTCGTCGAGTCGTCGATGCTCTATGATTATCGTCTAGACTCTATTCATCCGAGGATTACCTATAATTTCTACATTGCTTTAGATGTATTATTGTTTCTAGTAAGTGCAAACAATTAAGAAAGGTATAGTCTAATTGCCGTATAACTATTTATTGTATTGCACATCTACAATCGGCCGATTAGTGAGTAGTGAAGCAGTTAGAAAAAAACCGTCAATTATGACTTGAAGTTAAGAATCTTGAAATGGTTGAAACTTGACAGTGAAGTATTGACGAAAATTCATTGAGAAAATTGGTTGGAATGTTTGAGAGAATTGTGAAGCATTGAAAATTGATACAGAAGAAAAAAAGTTGAGAAGAGTTGAGACCTTGAGAAAATTGAGAAGAAGTGAAAAAAAAATTGGCGGGACTGGCTGATAATACATATCACCAAAGTTGAATATTTGAAAATTGACAAAATGAAAATTGAAAGAAAACAAATTGACATAATTCGAATTACATTGGAAACTTAACGGGGCAAAAGGCACTGTGGTGCTGTTGTTGATTCTCACTCTTCTTTGGCCTTCTACAATAGTAACAAAAACTTGGGTCCGGGCAAGAAGTTGCCATATGATCGGCCCTTTCGAGGCATCGTTCACAACGATTCCTCTCGAAGGCTCTCAACTTACGCTCGCCTAAGGTTTTTAGGCCTTGCAGTCGCATGCGTGATGATCGTCGTCACAGAATGCGCAACGAAGGCGCTGATCCGCTCCGCTCCGCTGGGGCCAGGTGGTGGCGACGCGGAGCGAAGCGGCTGGGCGGCGAGCCTTTGGAGGAAGTCGGCTTGTTCTCGTAGTTCGTTGAGAACTGTTCGTTGTTGGTGTACACTTGCTCTAATCCATCAATTGTGCGATCAAGTATAACCTTCATTTCGATTGTTCGTTGGTCGACGATATGTAGTAGTCCCTGGAAGATGTGTTTCTTCTCCTTATAAATTTAAGAGTGGTTGTCGTGTTTTGATGTTATATGATTGAGGTTATACCTCGTGAGGACGCGTCTTTTCAAAAGTTTTTGAATGAATCTTCAGTGGGATGTCGATTTTTCTTAAAAAATTGAGATGGAAAATGCTCAAAGTGATGAGTGATCGATTTTTTTTNTTTTTTTTGACTTAATTATTCTAGAATCTGATTTGAGAAAGAGAAGCGAATCGAACTAATTTGAATGTGATCGAAATGGAAACTACTTACTAAAATGCTGCCAATCCTATTTTTGATGGACTGGATCTCGTCAGTCCATCCTAGGATTCTGTTCAGCTTCCTATGCATTAACTCGATATTCTCACTCTCGTCCCTTTGAATCCTCGGCTTATTGAGTGGGCGATATTCAGGTTGACGTATTACCGGAACTGCAACTGGTTCCAGTTGAGCTGGGGTGTCGTTGACTTCGTCGTTGTCGCCCGGCTCCACTGAGACGTCCTCTTGAGGTGGTTGAGGTTGAGCATCGTGCGGTGCATCCATAGCTTATCTGAAACGGCGGGGTCCTTCTGTGTTATAGACTATGAAAAGAGGTACCGCGAAATAATACAATAGACGTTGAGTTGACAGGAATTGAAAATATGATTTGAGATGAGTAAATATCTGACCATAACGGAGGAGGGACCGTCTATTGACTGCAAATTCGATAAAAAAAGTTGCAGAGAACGCAGTGGGATGCGGATAAGAAATTTGAAAATCTTGAGAATAATTCTAAGAATAGAAAGGGCCAGAGCCAACGGAAGGCTCAGAAGTGTGAATGGTGAGGCTGTTGTGGTCGCCGTTGACATTTTTGTGTTCCCTGCACAGAGATATGCGATGCTGATAACCGCGAAGATTGGGAACGCAACGAGGACAAGGATAGTGTAAATATAGAATTGCTTGCAAATTTCGAAAAAATGCTTGATATTTGGAAAGTCCCAGTCAATATGGAGAATGTCGTTTTCTTCATTCCCCTCCGTTTCCTCTTTTTTTGTAAATTTTTGAAGTGTTCTCAACCCACTGATGTAGCTGAGGGTTCCTTGAAGTTCCAAGACTGTCGTGTGGGAGCCGCACTGGAAGCGGCATTGTTCTTTCTCTCGTGCTCTGTTGAAAAACAATTTGATGTGGTTTTCATGTCCTTCTCTTGTGCATTTAAGCACGAATTGGCGTGCCCCGCACGTAACTTGTGCGGTTGCCCGACTAACATCTGCAGTGCAGTCAAAAACAGCTTCTGCTCCTTCGTAACAACTGTAACAGCCCTTAAAAGGTTTATGTACTACGTTACAATTGAAATCGAGTAATTTTCGCTAAAGTTGGATTGCCATCATTTCCGGGGTCACGGCTAATTCGACTGAGAAGGCATTCAAGTGAATTTTCGGTATGCTCTTTGGTCCGCTAAGAACGACTCCGTTTGGTATCGGGAGTGGTAGTGTGTTTGACAATCGATATACTTGGCGAATATCATTGTCTGTGCAGTAACAGGATACTGTATTTTCGGCTAGGTTGCACTTGCAAGTATCTGTAATGCTGCATTGACCTGATGATTGAAAGTTGAAGGATTTGATGCGCAAGCGTAGCTAAACTGTGTTTCATCGTCTAGGTATGCAGATGTTTAGTTATTTAAGGTTTAACTCCTCCGCTCCGTTTGGGAAGACCTATGGTTCTTTGAACTCGCGGGCTTCCTCCAACAAACCCGTAAGGGCGTTGAGCTGCCTGGTTAACCTTTGCTTTGCATTTTTCAGCATAAATTGCTGCCGTGACATCCTTGCATTGACGTCTCCTTGTCAGTGGGCTTGTGAGCAGGAGCGAATGAATGACTTCGAAGACTGGAGGAATGCTAGTGCACTGGTCGGCTCGTGCGAGATAGATATATATGTTTCTGTTATCACATGGTCTTATCGAAATTAAAAATCCTTGATATGTTGTGAATTTTCTTATGGGAAAGTCACGTTTGCTGACTCCTTGAGTGCATGCTTTGAGAAACTTCGATAATCTTTCTTATGTTTTTTGAAAAGGTGGAATCTCAAGTTTTTATCTTGCAATAGTTTTGAGAAACTCAAGGGTGGAAAGTCTTGTTTTGGCTCTCAGAAACTGCTATCTTGAAAAAATCTCTTAAGGTCAAAATTGCATTCTTCAAGTTTTATATATATATATATATATATATATATATATATATAAAACTTGAAGAATGCAATTTTGACCTTAAGAGATTTTTTCAAGATAGCAGT